GAGAGTAGACACTTAGCTCTATCTAATGAGTTATAAATCACAAAATCGATAAATTTGACCAAAATTGACTTTTCTGAAGGGGGGGGGGGGGTGCTTAAGGACGTCTTAAAAACAGTTAGCTTTCGTCAAGTCTGAAGTGAATATACGGAAAGATAGTCTCTCATTTGCTCTTTCATAAACGATAAAAACTTTTCTTTGATACCTCTTTTTTTATGAAAAATTTTCAAGATTTTTGAAAAACCCAAAAATCTTTTTCATTTTCTATCGAAATGATGGTTGAACAACGCATCTCCAACGAAAGTCAAATATTTTGTTTGTTCAGTGATTAATCCTGTCAGACATTTTTCCTCCATAAAGATACGATTAAAAAAAAGGACCCTCATCAGCACTGCATTCTGACATGCTCTGTCAAACAAAAAAAACAATCAAGTATATGAAAAGAATTTTTGGAGACGCAATAAGCTATTTTTCGACCCCTGTTGGGTTCGTATCTACCTTATGCATGAGGATAGGAGGCTGAAAATTGTACCACAGACATCCTTTCATATACTCAAAATTTCATGGCATTTGAATGTTTCAGAGCTGAGATCGACTTTTGAGGAGGGTCCTAAATCAATAATATCGATTATTTCGATTACTTTCAAAATAAAATAATTTTTTTAGAAATCTTTTAAATTTAATTTAAAAATAGATAAAAAACTCATTTAATGGATAAAGTCTTATTTGAAATTTATTTTTTGAAAAAAAAAGTATAAACACTTTTCTTTAAATAAATCCTTATTCACAATGATTTTGATATATTTATCAATCTATTATTCCAATCAGAGATATCTCTGCTCAATATTTGATATTAATATGTTAAACGACATCGGACTTAACACTTGTTTATAGTCGATATTTATCTTTCCGAAGGGTTCTACAACTCAGTATACTTTGAAATAAAAGGCAATACTCTCCTCTAGACACTTTTTCATCGACGCAAACGATTAACAATTTTGAGAAATAGAACTTCTTTTTTCTTATTCAAATTCATAACAAGCACTAACGTCAAACAACTTTTTCAATTGAAGATCTAATTAGTTATCTTTCAACAAGGTCAAAGTCTATTAGCTCACACTGAAAACGTCTAATTGTTCAAATTTTAATATAAAATATTCAAGGTATTCCTTTTACCATGGTTAAAACTTAAAAGGACACATGTCAACATATTGTTTAAATTTGTATTTTTTGAAAATTCGAATATATTTAAGATAAAATAAAACATACCAAGAAATGATTGTTGTATAAGAGCAGCTGTTCCAGCTGATAATGAACTAGTTATTATATCCCATTGTGATATGGATATAAATCTTGGTTGATTATTATTTAAAAAAGTTCTTGTTATTTCCAATGTACCCATAAAAACAGGTTCAAATAAAAGAGCTAATAGAGCAACTGAATATCCACGATAAAATCCTCGTCGAATTCCTTCATCAATTCGAATTTTTTTAATCATTTCCGAGGTTGATTTAACAGGTGGTTTTTCAGTTTGAATACGAGTTTTAATAACAGCTAATGGATGAAAACATGTTCTTAATACAAGCGAACTTGTTGAAAGATAACTAATTAGATCTTCAATTGAAAAAGTTGTTTGACGTTAGTGCTTGTTATGAATTTGAA